TAACTTTGTAACATTAATATATATATATAGTCAAAATATATATATATTACACAGTAGATGTGTGTGTGTATATATATATATATATATATTACACAGTAGATGGATCCTGATAGAAAGGGAGAAAAACATGAACAGAATTTCAAAATTCTCAAAAGAATCTAGACTTACTGGACCCATTGAGAATGGAAGAATCACCAAGACTACTGCCCTGAGATAATCTTTAAACCTAGAACTGAAACTATCCCCTGAAGTAAATAGCAGGACAGCTCAAAAAGTAAAGAACGCACCCTTTACTATTGTGCTCCTTTAAAAAAATTATCTATGGGACCAAATGGACAAGTTACTCTAAAGCACAGATGAGGAGGATGTGTGTGGTATACATATATGTTAGATACCAGTGTTTCCAAGCTCCTTGAAGCAAACCTGTCTTACTTCATTCTGAATATGAAGCACCTAGCACAATGCCTGGGTCCTTGGGTGGCAAAAATGGTTAAGTGCTTGGCCACTAACTGAAAAGTTAGTGGTTCAGACCTACCCAGAGGTATCTCAGGAGACAGGCCTGGCCATCTGCTTCTAAAAGATCACAGCCTTGAAAACCCTATGGAGCACAGTTCTACTCTGATGCACAGGCGGTTGCGGTAAGTGGGAATTGACTCCACAGCAACTAACAAAAAACAGCCACCACCTCCATTATTCTTTTAACGCCTGAGTGGCCCAAGAGCAGGCTGGGTAGGAATGTAGTCTCTGATCCAACACCAGTCACTCCCTCATACCAACTAAAGCAGTATTCAGGGTCACCAAAATTACATTTCTTATAGCATCAATAAGGAGCTCTGGTAACACAGTGCTTAAGGCATCAGACTGCTAACCAAAAGGTTGGTGGGCTTGGAGGTTCAAACCCACCAGCCACTCTGCGGAAGGAAGACTGGGCAATCTACTTCGGTAAATATTTGCTGCCTCGGAATCCCAATGGGGGTGGCTGTGAGTCGGAATTGACTTGATGGCAGCGAGTTTGGTTTTTCTGGTTACAGCATCAATGCATCAGCATTATATTTTCTCTGTATCCATGGACATCTTTTCCTTAGTTCCCTGTTACACTAAATTGCCCCTTCGTAATTAAGATCAGTTTCTTCATTTGAGCTCCGTCTCCCCTCACTCTCCCAGACTATTATCCTCTGTGTGTATCCAACCTCCCCTTCTCAATTGGCACCATCCCATAAGCATTTAACCATGTTCACGTTTCCCTCATCTTCAGAACAAAAATCTCTCCCTCAACCCCTTTACCTCTCCACCTATCACCCTGTTTCTGTCTTCATCATCCCAGTAATGTCTTTTTTTTTCCTTTCTTTTTATTGGGATTTGGGTGAAAATTTACAGAGCAAATATATTTTCCATACAGCAGTTCACATACACTTTATCTCATGACATTGACCACATTTACCACAATGCAATAGCTCCCCTCCTACTTCCTCCCCATAGTTACCTCTTCCCTGTGTCCATGCCTCCATGCACCCCTACCCCCGATCTGTCTCCCCTGTGCATAAGCCCAGTAATGTCTGGATGGCTGTCTACATTCCTGATCTATCTTTCACTGCCTCCCACTCACTCCTCAGCTCGTTTCCACCTCCATAATCATTCAAATAGATCTTAAAAAGGTCAACCATGGCATCTCCAAGCTACTAAGCTTAGTTGGTAATTTTAAGTCCTTGTTTTTCATGACCATTCTCCTTTTTCAAACACTTTCT